ACATCTAAAACATGCAGGATAGGGGCCCTCGAGGACCAGGATTGGACACCCCTGCTGTAGAGGAACCTCTTTTAGTTCCACAAAGAACTGATGAACGAGGTTCTCTGAAGGAAAACGTCTCAAAGAACACATGAGGAGATGAATCCCTTCAGGCTCCAGAAGAACTTCAGCAGGAAGAAGTTCTTCAGGGAACCATTTACTTTTAATTTTTATTCAGCGTGTGACGTCGTTCTTATTATTATTATACTTTTAATCTGGAATTTCACTGGATATTATCTGGAAATTAACAAAACAGGGAAAAATTGTACCAAAACACGGAAAAACTAACAAATGTTTGATGTGGATGTTATTTACAGTTTTGATCATTTTCTAAAACAGGTACATTCATACTTTTTCTGTCATTTTACCATTTAGTAGCTGTAACTTAACAAAACAGGAAAAATCTGTAAAATAACAATCAATTATTTGCAAACTTAGAGTTAAAATAGTTAAAAATAAATGAATCAATCATTTCCTGCAGCTCTGATCAGAAGACTGGACCAGAATCAACCGTGAAGGCTGCAAGAAAGTCTGAATTTATCTTTAATAAAACTGTTTACGGCACCACAGCCAGGCTCTTGCTTTGGATTTTCTAACATATAAAACACAACTTGAGTCATTTTTCAGGGACAGAAAGATAAAAACTTGGATTTATGACGTTTTGGAGAACAAGTGGAACCTTCAGCAGTGAAAGCAAACAATCAATAAAGGAGTTTATGGACTCGCTGAGATTCAGCATAAAGTGAATAAATCCACAAGTTGAAGACAGTGACGGACTTCATGAGCTTAATGAGCCTTTTTGACTCGTTTAGCTCATTCAGGAGGAAAAGAAAAAGCAAAGCCGTCTTCACCTGCATGGAAAAAAGAAGAAAGAACAATCTCCTTCATCTCTGTAGGCGACCCAAATCCTCGGCGCTGCTGCAGCCAAAAACTAAATTAAAAAGAGTGAAGGAGTGTTTAGGAGCTGCTGCAGGTTTTAGCGGTTTGTTCCTGAACGCTGCCGCCTTTTACACGATCACACCATTAAAATCAAACTACAAATACACAAATATGACAGCGATGCATGGCTGTGGTTTGTGTTGTCGGTCACAAACAAACCTTTTTCTTGAAACACACTCTCATTGTCTAATATTTAAAAACACAATCTGGTGTAAAAAAAAGATGCAATTTTGCTCTAAATCTGAATTTTCCTAATATTTGAATGCGTATGTACATACAGTATTTACATGGAAACTTTAAACTGTTTTCATGTTTAAATGTAAAAAAGTCCTGCAAATATTCAAGCAGGTGCCAAAAAAACAGTAAAATAATAGAAAATAACCGCCTGGTAAAAATACAGTAATTTAAATAGTTAAACTGTGTTTGTTAGTCTGAATTTTATGATCATTTTGGCTTTTAAATACCAAAAAACAGATATTTGCATGTGAAAAAACAATGAAATTACATAAATATGTATAAAAAGAAATATATAGAATGTGTAGAAGAATATTTGAGTGTAAAAAAAAACAGAAATAAAACCTTTAAAACAGATATAGATAAACATATAGATGCATAAATGATAGATAACTATATTATATAAATATATTTCATTCAACAGTTTAGACGTGAAAACTTAAAATAATATAAAATATCTCATTGGTCAAATGGATCGATTTAAAATCACAGAAGCTGCTTTTATCTGTAAATTAATTTTTATTAAATTGATGGAAACGATTATTTTTTTATATCAAAACATTTCAGTTTTCTTTCTTCTTTTAAGTTGAATTTTTATGGTTTTATTCTAAGTTACGGTTTTTTAAAATCTTATTTTACATCAGACGTGTAAATTTAACGTGTTTTTGTATTTTATTATTTACTGGTTTCAAAAATACGTCAGATAAAAAGAAAATAATGTGTAAAAATAAAAACTTCAGCATCTTTATGAACTAAATATACATAAATATATTAAAAAATGTGTTTATGTCTCACGTTGCATGTTGAACATTAAAGAAAAAATTAATTCTGTGGAACTTTTCAGGCTGTAAAGCTGCACAGAACCTAAATTATCCAGAACCTTGTGCTAATTAAAGTCTTATTAAAGTGTAATTCATCATTTCTGCTGTGCGCATAGAAGCAGCGTTTGATCCTATGTATATAACAACAACTTATAAACCCAGTGGACGTGTTTCCTCCCAAAATAACCAAAAACCTGCCTCACACATCAGATTCTGCTCACGATAGAGGCCTTAAAAGTTGTTAAATGTGGATGATAGTCTGTTTTTTTAGTAGAAAATTCAGAAACATCCATATCTATACGCTTAGAGGGACTTTCTGGGGCCTCAGTAACACCTTAAAGGGAAAATCTGTGTACTTTTGTTCCATTTTCAAGGAAAATTAATTAGAAATGTGTCATTTGGTGGAACGATTTAATCGCTTAGATCTGCTGTGAGCTTCTCTGTCTGCGTCCTCAACACGTTTAACGACCGTGAGAGTTTGATTTCTGGAGATACTGAACCATTAAATGTCTACATAGAGGTTTTTCCAGGTGCAAAAAGTGATTAAATGATTCCTAAAATCTGTCATCATCTGTCAAAAGTCTGGAGTGAAAAGCAGAGTTCACCCGTCTGGAGCTGAGCAGTGCAGCGTGGTTATAAAGCTGAAGTGTTGCTGGAGTCCAGCTGTCTGATAGTTTCTCTAAATGAGGCCTTTTTAGGAGGCGGGTCCAGATTGATTAGTCTAATTTTAAAGAACACGTCCTGGAGCAGCGCTGGAGGTCCGCCGCTATTTTCAGCTCGTCGAGGAGACTCCAGGAAGGAACCATTCAGGTTTCTGGGGTCAGAGGTCGAAGGAGCTGCTAATGGAGGTATTTTCTGACTGAACACATCTGAGGGGCTGAAGCTCCACCAGACCAAGGTGGAACGTGGCCACGGCGATCCGGAGGGACCCAGAACCCCGGCGGCAGATCAAAGCGGCGACCCGGCGCTGCCTCATTTGGTCTCCTGGTGGCCTGCATACTTGGGCTTCCAGCAGCAAAACACCCCCCAGGGATCCTAAAATACTCAGCAGGCAGGTCTGAGGTGGGGCAGAGGAAGGGCCGGAGGCAGCGCTGCAAGCCTGGACAAGCTCCACCGACGGCAGCCGGAGCTCGCAGCGCGTCACGAACCCGCTGGAAGCTTCTTCTTCTTCTTCTGTTTGCAGGAAACACTCGTGACACCGAACAGGTCGAGTTGAGGAGGAAGAAAAAGCCGACGGACACGTTTTGGTGTCGCTGAGCGCTTCCTACAGAACCTTTATTTAGCCTCACGGCGTCCTCGCAGCGCTGCTAAATGAGCAGGACGGTTAATTTGGGAATCAGGGCTCGATCAGGCCACCGGGGTCACGGAGGTCGTTCTCATGTTCACACTGGAAGGTTGAGAGTGACGCCTGCTGGCTGCAGGGCGGTACTGCAGGAGGGTTACTGATGGACCCACAGGGGGCGCTGTTGGGTGGCAGTCAGAGAAACCACCTCCTTAGAATCACATGAGGTTTAATGTACAATAACTTTAGTGTGTTTAATGAAGTTCTCTAGGGTTGAGCTTCACTCTGTGGATATGTTCAGACACTAAAGGTGCAGAGAGGCTGAAGTTTAGCTTCATCAGTTCAGCAGATAAACACACAACATTTTAAAAGCTAACAAAGACATCTGAGTTCTGTTAAAAACTGCAACCAGATCAGTTTGAAATCATCTGCAGGTGTCACAGTCTGAACACTAAATCTGGCTTTTCTTCAGTTTTTCTAGAAACAAATTTGAGTCTGAAGCAGTTTAATGAAGTCACAGAAACAATCAGCGTTTTCTGATAATCCACCAGAGAAACTTTAAAAGTGCATTCTGGGTAAACGTCCAAGGCTCATGTGTGTTGGTGGTTGGTCAGAACAAGTTCTAGACAATGAAAGGATCATTTTTACCCACATTTGACACCAGGATAATCTATAGACAGGATTCACTCCGTGGGTAAATAATGTCCTAATATTTTAACGCTCCTGAAAGCATCTTCTGGCTTTGAAATGGAGAAACATGTTTTATAGAGCAGCTCAGAGATAACTCACTGACCAAACCAGATTATTTAGATTCTCCTGACAGTCTTCAGTCCTTCTTCTGTTTCCGTCCTCAGACTGTGAACAACTGTGATGTTCTGTCAGGATTCTGGTTCGGTTTTGACTGACTTTGTGTTGCTCTCAAAACCACACTTGTTGCTGATGACAGCAGCAAAAGGTGGAGGTCCAACTTGAACGTGTTGAATCCGTGCAGAGACTCACTCAGCTCTATCACAGGTTTAAATATGACGTTCTTAAAAAAAAATGTTTTGCTGCAGAATGAGATGATCCTGGTGTCAAATGTGTTTACAAAATGATCCTTTCATTGTCTAGAACTAGTTCTGACCAACCACCATCACACATGAGCCTTGAAAGTTTACCCAGAATGCACTTTTCAGAGTTCCCCCGTCCAAAATGACCTCAAATGTGCCCAAAACTATTCAAAAGTGTCCAAAAGGTCCTGAAACTTCTCCAAAAAAATGTCTAAAATGACTCAAAACATTTCCAAAATGACTCTAAAATTGTCAAAAATGACTCTAACTCTGTCCAAAATGACAAAAGCTTTCCCAAAATGACTTGAAATCCAAGGAAATGATTCATCTATGAGATGGTCCTGGTAGGTTCTGGAGGTAAAAGGTCCTTCTGTTGTCTAGAACTTGTTCTGATCAATCACCGTCACACATGAGCCCTGAGAGTTTAGTTCTGAGGCTCAGAAATGATGGAAAAATAATGAAAAAGCATTAAATTCTGCCCTCCTCTATGTACTTTTAGGGCCTGTAACTCTAAAACTATTCTCACCATGAAAGTAAAACTCTGAAGGACTTCATTAAATAAACTAAAGTCATTGCAGATATTTTCAGGTTTCATCTTTTTTCAGATTGTCTTGATTTTAACGACAAACAACGACAGTAAATTGAAATACTTTAATTCTTCTGACTCTGCGGTGACGTTACAGACACACAGCTCTCTCTCTACACGTCGTGATGATGAATCTGAAACAGGAATGAACATGACAGACACTGAACAGCAGCTGCTTCACTTCTACAAACATCTTCACAGAACCGAGGACAAAACCCGACAGAGGATGGTTCCAAACCTCCACAGGCAGGAAAATGAAATCAAGTATTTGTCGTATTGCTTCGTGCTAGTGACACTTTAACACCCTGAACACGTCATTAAGGGGTTAAAACACACTCTGGTGCAGCTACGAGCAGATATCATGTAGTTATGAGCTCCTCCATGACAGTATTCATTAACAAACGCTTCAAAAATATCTGCTTACAGCGACATTACAGAGCGAAACAAACCGTTTACTAAACGTTCAGATGGTGTTAAACCAGCTCATCCTGTACTTTAGCACATCCAGTCGCCTCGTCCTGCCTCACATCAGCCTCCACTGATGGTAGACGTCCTAAAAGTTGGAGAAACGTCGACCAAAGACTGGAAATATGAACACATCCACATACACAGGAGCTTTCTGGGGTCACAAAAGCAGCTTCATTTGAAAATGTTGAACTTTTTAAGAGCCGATAATTAAAAATGTGGCCTCTGCTGGAGCCATTAAATCACTTTTATGGACAGAAAACTAACACGTCTGCATCCAAAACTAATTTAATGTTACAGTTCTGGAGATATCGAATCCGGAAAATCTGATTTTTTTTCTTTAAGGTCAAACAAATCTAAAGTCTCACAATCCAGACAATTCAGCAGAAACATGAATTCTGTCTGAGCTGCTTTTAATTTGTCTGCAGGTAAAATTTGAATCTTTAAAGTCGTAGAAATGTTGATTTTAAACCTGGATTCACTGTTGAAATAATCAGAACTGGGTCTGGTGGTGGACGGCTGCTGTCTGATCAGACCCGGTGGACATAAACGTGCTAAAGAAAGACGACTCTGGGACTCTTCTGACAAAGTGCAAACCGACCTGAAGAGGATGAAGATAATTAAGGCTGTCGTCTGCGTATTAAGACTCTTCCACCTCCAATCGTGTCCTGCTGTCTAACAAAAGGAACGCTGATGCTTCAAACCCAACTCGCATCAGAGTGTCAGCTTCAAAAAGTGCAAACGTTTGGTCGAACTGAGCCGTTTTGGTTCTGACCGCTACTGATCTGGACGCTGCTGATCTACGGAGGCCCGCGAGGCCACTGCCGCGGCGGACGCAGCGGGCCGTCGGACGAACAGTTCGGGGGGTTTGGGCCGCCGCCATCATCTGAGTCGGGGGAAGATTCTGATGAAGAGGATCATGCTGATGAAGGTGAAGGAGACCAGGATGAGCATCAGCCACAGCAGCCAGTTGACGGACTTCTTGGTGTGCTGCTCCAGCCGCTCCGACTCCGTCTTCAGCTTCTCGAAGTTCATGTCGGCCTGACGCATCGACTGGCTCAGAGTCTGAGCAGCAGAGAGGAAACAGATGTGAGTACCACGATGAATAAATAACTAATATGTCTTCTATTGAGACACTCGTAGAACAGCTCTAGGAATAAAGCTTACTATCTGCACCTTGTCCTGTAACTTTCTGTGAATTATCAGAGTTCACAGTCTAAAGCAGCAACACGACGGTTCCTGTATTTTATTAGATAGTTTATAGTAAAAATAATTCTGGTTTTTATAAGTCCTTCTGTAATAAAAAGCAGAACATTCTTTTTTTTTAAGGCATTCATAGCAAAAAGGGATTTTTTTTCTACTACACTCATGATGCACCAACAGTAAAACATGTTATTTAATAGAATAGTGACTCTATGGGGAAAAATAAATTCAAATGTAGAGTTTTTTAAAAAGATGTGTCGATGGTGAAAACAGAACATTTTCTGCTTTTAATGGTGCATCTATAGAACAGTTTAAAAAAATGAATTATTGATGCACCTACAGTAAAAACAGAACACTTTTCTTTTCATTTAATGTTGAATCTATGATTTTTTTTAAAAAGAGCATTTGCTGTTATTTAATGGTGTATCTATAGTGAAAAGTTGGACGTTTTCTGTTGTTTAATGATCAATCTACAGAGTAAAAACTGCAAACGTTAAATTAATCTAACCTTTAGATTTAGATATTAAAACAAACCCTGTAAACATCTCCCAGTGGTGACTATTAACTGCCTTTTGCTGCCCACTAGTGGCCACAAGCAGCAAAGACATGAAGCATGAAGAGGAATATTATATTTAAAAAAACAAAAACAAAAAACAACCACTTATATTTTCCCAAATTTAGCCAAAACTAACCTAAAAGTAGTTCCTTTGTCCACTGCTCTTAAATAATGTTTTAATTTTTCTTATTTCACTATAAAACTTGTTTGCATTTCATCTATCTTGTCTGCACCGCTCTATCTTGTGTTTTATCTTTTACATTTTTTATTTCTCTGTCTTTATTTAAACCACATCTGTGTGCGATGAGGTCTAACAGAACCAAACTTGCTCTCCTGCTACACATTCAGCACTGTGACCACTCTGATCGGTGAGAACTACTCCTGGTAGTTTCAGACTCTACAGCTCAGCAGCTCTGGCTGCACCGGCCCGGCTACCTGGTTGTCCTGCTTGATGATGTTCTGCGCTGCCAGACTGTTGCTCTTCAGGTTCCGGGCCAGGTTCAGCATGTCCTCGGCCAGCTTCTCCTGCAGGTTGTGGTGATGCTGCAGGACGGCGTCCAGCTCGGCGGCCGACTGACGCTCATCCAGAGGCACACATCTGCACCGAGACAACACTTTTTAAACACAGGAGTCCAGTGGATATACTTATTTATAATATGCAAGCATTCAGTTTGTATATGAGTGGTGAATTATAGAAAAACAACAACATGTGAAGTTGTACCTTCTGTTTCTCAGGTCCGATGTTCCTGAAGAGAGAAAAGAACAAAACCACTTTAACAAGATGCTTTCTAGCAGAATATTAGATTTTAAAACGTTGTGTCTGATTGAAAGATGCCTTCAGGCTCCTCCTACCTTTGTCTGATGATCCCTGTAATCACACAAAACATTCAGGAGTTAAACATCAATCAACGTAAATCTGTTTTTCAAATTAAACATTAGTTAATTGTGAAAATGCAGTCGTGAGAACCAGAAGGCGTCACAGCTGCTGTGAGCAGAACAGTGAACGTCTATCATCTCCGTCTCCTCCTACCGTCCCCAGCAGCTCGTCCCTCATCTCTCCCGTACATCTGGCCTTCGTCTGCATGTGGACCGTCTTAGTTGCCGGCATCCTCTCGTTGGCTATCGTGGGCGTTCGTCCGGGAGCGAGGAACTGGTTGGCTAAAGCTTTTTCTGTCGCTGAAGACTGTGAACGAGAGCGGGACAGTGAAGGGATCAGAACACACTGGAGTAAATCCACTCATACTGTGTTTTGTGTGTCTTAAAAGATAAGAAATGTAAAATAAAAGCTATGAGAATATAAAGATGCCGACTACTGCCATTCTTCTAACATTTTTATTCAGTTCTTATGTAGAAACGATTAAAAATTGAGCTAAAACGCAGCATAGTTTCAGGTAAACCAATCTTCTGATGCCTCTCAGTCCACCAGGTTGATCTACTTTCTTCAGCTCCTCCTGCTAACTCTAAAGCTCGACAAATGTTCTGCTGTCGGCTGCAAGAGTGAACACAAGAGTCTTCATGCACTTCCAGCATCTGAGGAACTGAACACCCAGTGGATTACTTTACGTTTTGATGCTAATGTCCGCACAGCTGTTAGCGTGCTGTGTGGCTAATGTGGCTAGCACTAGCTTTGACGGCCTGAGCTCTGTAGGAACTGTAGCGCTGAGGAACATTCAGAGCTCTGTGGAAACGTTAATTTAAACCGATATTAAACCAGGACTTGGTGGGTGACTGTGATTTCATGTTATGCTTCAGTTCAGCCTAAACTCAGCTGATGTTTACGTCTGTTAGCTTCTCTCCTGCTCTCTGTGCTCACATCAGCTGTATTCTAACTCTGCTAAACTCACTATAAAGCTGTTTTCTGCAACTAAAACGCAGCTCATTCAGACTACCGGCAGTCACTTCATTTCCGAGCTACAGCCGTGCAGCTTACTGACAAACTTAAACGTCCATGTAAATGATGGCTCTGACAGAAAGTTAGTAGTTCTAGAAAGTCCTGATCTCACACACTGGCTTGTGTCAGCTGTCAATCACAGAATCAGAGAGTGTTCTTCCTGAAGGGGGCGGGGCTAGCAGCAGCTCGTCTACATTCAGAGCTACAGACACTGAAACAGCTTGTCAGAACACGATTAAACTCCGGTTAAACAGACTTTGAGCAGAAAAATTAACAGACACATTCTGGAGAGGTCGTTCGTTACCTTGTTGGATAATACGGGACCTTTAAAGTGAACATGTTCAGTTCATAATATTGACAAAAAGAAATCTATAAAGTTTGGCCACTGACCAGTTTCTCTGCCTCGAGAAGTCCTTTCAGAAAATCTACTTTTCTCGTGTATTCAGTCAGGACCTCTGGCGTCGGTTTGCTGGAAGACGACACAGTCAGTTAGTCAGCAAAGCATAAAAGTTGTCGTTATTCTTACTTAACATGAGAACGATACCACAGTGATCAGTCAGAGATGGACTTTCTGTCCAAAAATACATAAAACAGCCTCTTAATTCAAAGTGTTTTCAGTCACAATCTTAATATAATCTGTGTTTAAAAGTGTAATAAACTGTTAATTACAGCATTATCTGTTAGAAACTGAGAAATTATAAATATTAGGAGGAAAATGAATGAAAAGAAAGTTTTCATATCAACTGAAAACAAATGTAGAAAATAAAGTTGTTCTGTTACTCCTTCACTATTTAATAATTTTATGAAAATGTAATGATCCCAGTATGAAAACCAAGAACGGTTTTTACCTCGGGCTTTTCCTCAGAGCCACCAACATCTCCTCCAGGGCGCCGACATACTGGAGACAGAAACAGAAACAGGGACACACATTTAGTTTATATGATTATTCTACAGTTTAATGAATCTGAGCAACACTATGAACCACAAACCTGTTTATACAGACCAATAAATGTATAGAACTATTAATACTGACCCCTATATTTACATATTGTGTACCATTTACCTGTTGATATTTAATTCTCTGCTCCTTTGCCCTGTGGTACCTCATTTATATAAAGTGTCAATAATCCTCCATTTATTGGTAATAACTTTATTTATCTCTTAAAGAACCTGCAGAATTTGCACTAGATTTTTGTTTTAATTTAAACATGCTCCACCTGTAAGGCTCTACATGGTATTAAACACTCAGTTTCCCTTCTTGAAGCTGCTGCCTTGTTTAAAAGCCTGTTTGTGTTTTCATGTAAACAACTGGAGAGCAAAGTGAAGTCAGATCCTTTACATGCTTGTACCATAAAGCTCATGCTGCTGAGGAATACATTTACAGAGGTTAGCAAACAAGAGACGGTTCGACAGGCCAGCAGGTACGGGTTTTATTTGCTAACGTGTCCGGGAGGCAGCAGCTTCTCCTCAGCTGGACCCTCCGACACAATCCTGTCACTGCTCTCAGTGACGACGTGGCTAACGGCTACGCGGCTAACAACAACAAGCTAACTTTTAGCCGGCTGAAGGTCGAACCCAACCGGCTCCGAGTCTCCCGCGCCCCCTCCGCGCCTCTTTATCTCACCTTCTCCAGCCTCCACTCCGTCTCCACCCGCTTCTCCGACGCTATCGACTCACAGCGGGACAATAACCGGACGAAATTGATCTCTAATCTGGATGCCATGTTCGAAGCCGACACACGGTCGCGGCAGTTTGACGTCACGCTTAGACGCGGCGGCGCATACACATGACGCGACTTAGCGCAGGAAAACAGAGACGAGGGAATATTTAGTGAAATAAAACACAAATTTAGTGGCAAACGCGGGCAAATTAATTGTATTTAAAGCAAATATTCCTAGTTCAATTGATTTTGCAGAGAAATTAAATAATTCCACTTAAATATAAACGATATTCCACAAAGAGTCGAGTCACTGTTGTTTATGCAGCACGTTTCCAACAGCTGGTGTTGATCCACAGTGGCAGAGAAATAAGATGATGATGTAAATATATCATATAACAGGTACAAGCACTGAGGTTTAGACTCTGCAGGGTATTTATGGGGTGAATTTACCAGATGTTTTAAAAATAATATGGTTAAAGCCCCACAAAACACTAAATTATCTGATTAAAATAAATATTAGGGTTAAAAGAGTGACGTGGCAGCTCTGTTTTCCTCACCTCAACTAAAATGTAATATTTTTGAAATGTTAATTTAATATTTTATTCATTTATTCTACTATACCGATGTGTACAGCTGAAACGTTACCAACAGCAGACTTATCAAGCACAAGCTGCAAGAAAACTCTAATTTAAAAGACTTTATGCAAACATGAAAACATTTTTTTGGAGTCAAAATGTTGAATTTAATTAAATCAGACAGAGGAAGAAAATGCAAAGCAATCCATTTTAAAAAAAGAAAGAAAAATATATATTATCTTCATTTTTAGATGAGCATTTTTAAATATTTTAAATTGCATTTTTGAGTTCATTTTTTGAATTTTGATTCGATTTAAAATTGCAACAGGACATTCAATGAAATCAAAATGTTTTTTACTGTCATTACCATTACTGTTGTTTTAAATTAGTTATTTTTTAATTGCATTTTTCAGTTTTTGTGAATATTTTTTTTCTTGCTGTAGCTCACATTAGGTGGTCTGTAGCAGTGGAACAGTTTAGAAAACATCTTTTCTTGAGGCTTCTCAGGGTGAAAATCTGATGTTTTAGTTTCAGGTTTACAGGCAGTCGGTCATCTGCAGAAGAGGCAACCTTCACTTCCTACTGTTCATCAGGCTAATTATAACAGGACTGTGAGAGGTTGAGGTTGCATTAGTGCACTTCAAGTTTCTTCAGAAATTTTCTCAAATCTCTCCTCTACTGGAGCCATTTGCTCATTTGAACCTGATGGCAACGATTTTATCTTCACTACGTTTCACAACTGTAGAAGTTATATTTCTGGAGATATTGATCCTTTAAAATCTTAGATGAGGCGTTTTTTCAAGAATTGAAAGACAAAAACTTCCCAAACCTCAGCCAAAAACATTTTACACAAATTAGCTTTTGTGTCCCAAATAAATAATTCTGAATAAACTCAGAGACGGTGCAGCAACATATTTCCTGAATTGTGTCTGAATTGACTCAGACTGACATATCTGCTAACCATTTTGGATCAGACTAACATCTGGAGAGTTCATAAAACTGTGCAACCACTTTCCTCCTTCATTACCTTTTCTTTACTTCCATCTGTTCAGCTGACACATAATGAAAGAACACCTGAAACCTGTTATTAACATTCTAATGTTAATGTGCTACTCATGTACCTACACAGTCGTATATTTTCCTCTGCGGGTCTGGAGGAGCTTCACTAAATCTGCAATCACATGACATCAGCTGCAAAACAAACCTGGTTGGTCCTGATGAGCGGCGCCCTCTCGTCTTCTTCCCTCAGGAGCATCGATTTCACTGCGCTGTAAAGAAAACTGTACTTCTGGCAGCAAAGCAAACAAACTGTGGAATACTGAGAAAGTACTGACAAATATCATAAAGATGTTGATATTTTTAGTGGATTCAAAAGCAGGAGAAGCGTAAGTTTATGGTTTTAGAATATAAAGGAACTACTTCATAAAAACACAGATTTTTGACGTGGACATAATTTAAAGTTTTGGCCTCTTTTGTTTTTCTTTTTTTTTGTTTTTTTGTTTGTTTTTAATACTTTTTTTCTTGTTATTTTACCAGATGTCATCTGTAGTTGTAGAAAACACCGAAAAACAATAAAATATTATTAAACTGTAATAGAGATAATTTTTCTTCCAAAGGCACCAGCAGCACAAATCTGTAAAACAAAATATTTTTCCTGATTTAAATACAGCAGATAAAACATCATTTTACTGTCAATTGTCATAAAAAAACAAATTCCTATTTTTAAAATGACAGATTTTTGATGATGGAATACTGTAATGTTCCCAAACTGTAGAAATAACAGCAAATATTTGTAAAATAAAGACATTTTTAGCTGATTTAAGAACAGCTGAACAGTGTAATTTTGTCATCATACTTTGTAAAAATTACTATTTTTAAAACTACAGATTTTTGATGCTGACATTATTTGCAGATTTAAAATGCATTTTTTTAAAGATCAAACTATTTTTTTCTGTGGTTTTATTCGGTGTTATGTAATTTCCCGGTGAAAATTTGTGAAAATAACAGTGAAATGTTTTAAAATCACAGCTAAAGACGGATAAAAGTTTTAGTTTTTTGTAACTGTGTTGAGTGGATAAAGGTTTCTGACAGCTTGTGGTGAAATTTAAAAAAAACTTCCAAATAATTTCACAGAAAAACATCACTGAGGACTTTGCAGAACTTAAAATGTCTGTGGATTCGACTTAGCATTCATGTAAATCTCTTTAAATTAGTCTAAATGTGAAGTTTAATACACATTTGGTGTCGTTTTGGGAGCAGACTAACTTCTGGAGAATCTATTCCTTCATGCAACCACATTCTGTCTTTAATCACTTGCGTTGACCTTTTTCTTCTCGCCGCCCTCTGAAGCCCGAACCTTTGGACCGTACCAGATGAAAACACACAGCAGCTCGTGTTACAAGCATCATGTACTGTATTTTCAATGTTAATACTAATAACCGTTACAGTTCATATCATTCAGTCCCAGACATACACTCTCTGTTACACATTACACATCTTCCTCCAGATCCAGACAAAACTAGCAGACATCATTCAACAGCAGTCAGAGAGGAACATTAGTATTACATCTCATACAAAGTTGGCCAGAGCTGTGCTTCAGCAGAACGTGGCGGGACCGAGCGGGACCGAGCGAGTCCGGCTTCAGACGAGGGGGGAAGTTTCCAGCTTTGAAGACGTCGGCCGCTGCGCCCCGGTCGTGTTTTTGTTTGTTTGTTTGTCGTTTGGGTGGAAAAAGTGGCGTGTGCTGCTGCTCCCATTTCCCTTTGCTAAGTGACAGCGACGACTTCCCGCCTGGCGTCTGTTGTGCGGCGGGTCAAAGGTGAAGGCGAACTGAGACTGCGGTCGTTTGTGCAACAGTCACAACGTTTAGGTCCTGGTCGGGAACATGTCTTTTGTCGGTTCAGTACAATAAACGAAACTCCGCTCTCACCCCGCTCGAGCAAAGATCCGAACGAGTGACGTGAGCTTCTTCTGTCGAGTCGACGCACAACATCAAGGCACTAGCTGACATTTCAACGAGCACGTTTTTTGCTCGTTAGAAGAAATGAAAAGTGCGACTGGAACCTGGAAATATTTTCTTGAATTAGCACATATTTAAAAAAAACAAAAAAAACAAAAACAGATCATTACGAGGCTCCAGAAAATGCAGCCTCTGGTCCGACTGAAGTCATCGACTGTAACCACAATATATTAAAATGATAGAAAAGGTGCTAGGCAGCGTCTCGTCCAGTTATTTTTACTGTCACACGGGACGACAGGACTCCAATGGTCTCCATCCGGGCTGTGACTCGCATCCTCTGCTGGCCGTCACCTCTGGGTTCATTTCACTTTTATTTTTTTAAAGTCTACTCGGAGCTTGTCGCCCTCGTTTCCGTCCTGTCACACGTCATCGTCCATGTAGGGGATGTCTGGGTCAGAAAACCGCCTCTTGCCCTTCGAGGCTTCCGCCTGCTGCAGCTGAGGAGACGGCGTAACCATGGCGATGGAGGAGGAGGAGGAGGAGGCGGAGGGAGGGCAGGAGGCGAAATGCAACAGCAGGTCGACGTCGGGCCCGTCGATGTACAGGGACTGGGTGCTGTCTTTGCGGCGGCCCGGCTGATCCCGTCTCCTCACCAGGTATTTAACAGCTCGGTTTCCGGGAGGAGTCTGAGCCGGGCTGGAGGCGGCCGGCTGGGAGAGGACGCCGTGGGGGAGCCTCACCGTGTCCGGGATGACGGGGTTGCGGCGTTGCAGCGGGTTCCTGAAGGAGGATTCGGACATGGAGGAAGCGCAGCTGGACAGGGAGGTGGTGGAGCCGGCAGGGGTGAGGTTTGGCAAAGGGATTCGTCCACCAGGGACTTTGGGTCGCTGGGCCAGATCTGACGGTTTGGGAGGACAAATTGGCCTGAGTCTCCTCTGCTGAAGAGCACCTCGTCCTGGAAGAGACGGAGGACAGAGCAGGAGTTAAAGGAGACGCCTGAGCAAAGGTTCACGCGTCTAGAGAGGGTGAAGACAAATGGAAGATCATGCAACCATGTTGTCTACGAAAAACTACATCCAGTGAGTTTGAATTCAGTTCGATTTGGTGCCCGAATGTCCCGTAAATTAACTTTGGATGAGCATGCTTCTGTGCCACACATGCGTTTTACATGCACACAAACACACGAACACGGTTGCTGTTCCTCCAACCTGCTTCGTTACAGAGCAGACGTCACCGCCCCCATCACCATCACTGGTCCAGACCTGCACCACAAAACACAGGAAGGGCGCCACCCAGCGGCCCCGTGCTCCGGTCAGAAACCCACAGCTGAGCCAGAGATACAGGCAGAAGGAAGGAAAGTGGCCACTGTACCTTAATACTGACCTTCAGGCTCGGAGCTGTGGGCCGAGGAGCGCTGCTGCTCGTCCAGGAGGCTCTCGGAGCTCAGAGAGGCTTCGGAGTCCAAGTTCTCCTGGTCCGAACCGGGCTGCTCCATCTCCGGAAGTCGACACGCCAGATCCTCCCTGAAGAGAAGACGAGGGCGT